AGAGCTCTGATAGTCAGCCAGCCAGTGGGGTTCTCTATCAAGGAAGCCTTAGGCTTTTTTCACTACTTTTTTAAGTAAGGAAAAATTGTAAAAACACCAACATTTTAAAATCCTAGTTTCATTGTGAATATGGACTTAGGATTTTGGAAATTGATGTTACCTTTTTTAAATTTCCAAATTCAAATGGTAGTTTTTAAGGATTTTCCGTTCAAGAAATATATCGGTCTTCAATTTTTCTTTTTCAAGGAGAAATCATTGCGTTTCTGAGAAGGTAATACAATTACACAAAAAGTTATAACAAGTGAATGAAAAGTTACAGGCATAAAATGACAATAAGGTCCATATTACTTATTTATCATTGAAATTTTTTCTAATTATATTCTTTTCTTGAGATGTCATAGTGATTTTCCCTTTTTTTATCTATGATTTATGAATAAATATTAAAATTTGCATTTAATTTTTTTATCTAGGATATCAATTGTAGATCTAAAATAATGAGCATATTTTAAAAACCAAAAGATTAAATTGGTAAGCCTCATAAATTTTAATTAATTTTTTAATATTTGTGATATATTTAGAATATCAGTTGTCTTAATTGTAGTTAATTTTCTATAATGGTCCCTAAATGTCATTATATTTTTCCAATAAGTATATCCTAATCGAATTATCATGACTATAAACATATAAGGCCCGTCTGAGAACCTTTATTTTTTTGATATTATCATTCGGCCAATTTTGTTCGGGTTCGTGGCTTCCCTCCCCATAAAGGTGTCTTCTCTAGGACTCAAACTTGAAAACCAGAAAAATCTAACAGGACCTTACATTATTTAGACCAACTCTTTGTTGGAAGCCCTTCTGAGAACTTTGTTATGGTCCCTACACTTAATTTGCTCCATTTCTTCCCCACTGAGCATTTTATATATGTGTGTGTGTAATATATTCCCCTCAAGATATATATCTCTAGTTCTTCTTTGTACAGTAGCCAATCAAAAAGTTCAACATTATAGTATTATGGAATATCTTCTAATTAAAGCTAAGGACGTACTAGTTGAAGACGGGCAAGATAAAAGTAACGCGTCCCTACAGCTACAATTGCCCATAAATTATCAAAAGGGTCCAATAGCTATAAGATATCAGTCCATTTAGAATTATTATAAGTAACTTTCTAATTGTAATTATTTATAAGTTATTCCGAAGGTACCTTCTGCACCTTTTGGACGATGCTGAAACAGTTTTGGCTTGGAAGTTTTGGAACTGCATATTACAGTAAAGGAGCTTCCTTTTCTGGATAATGGCTTCGCCAAGAACATACCACCTCCCAAAAAAAAAGAACTTCGCCCACATGAAACCTCCCTCATAAAACACTCTGATAAACTTGCAATTATCTCCTATACAGATAGAGGCCAGTGGGCATCTCCAGAGTTGCCGCTAATTTATAGGCTTTGGAATTGAATACTCACCATACCAGTCTCTCCTTAAAATCAAGGGAAGAAAATAAAGTCTTCAAAATCTCCTGGCATACCTCTGTGGATGTAGATCTGCCAAAGCACAGAATAGTTCCATTTGGAACCATTATGGATATAAATCAGACGCCATATGAATATTATATGGGGGAGAAGACACCATAGGGGCCGCCATAAATGGTACTACTTTTAGTCTTAAATATAAGATCTAATTTGAAATGCAAATTGCACCATATAAACTAGATCTGATATTTAGGACCGGAGGTAGTAGTTGATGTGAATGATTTTAAAATCTCATTATTTGTTCCATTGAGTCCAGTATATCATGAAGCACTGCTATAGTGAGGAATCTCATGGTAACACATGGGTCAATGGGTGGAAATTGAGGAATTAGCCCCAGATTAAAGGTAAAATAAAGTGTCGATAGAAAAGTTTTCATAGTTAAACAAATACAGAATAAGGTCTTCTATATCTTCTGAGGTGTTGTCTTCACATTTTGCTTAGTTCCTTCAACTTTTGTGTGGATCGAGATTATCATGAGGATTGATTTTCTCATAACCTTCCTAATTACTAACAAATACTCAGCATATTCAGCAAATAATAAGATATTCGTAGACATGCTATCAACGTTAGAAAAGAATTTACCTGGGAGCATGAGACACTATCGATGATAGAGAGGGTGCAAACTACTATTGGCAATCTATAAATTTCACTGCTATCAACCATCACACAGAATATATACTACCTCCGGTCCTAATTATAAGACCCAGTTGACTAATTTGAGAAGATTAAGAAAAGAAGTTAAATTAGTTATTTGTAATAAATAGGTATTGTCTCTCCTAAAATATCCTTACTAATCAACTATATTAGCTACAACTATAATTATTAGAAGGACTATCTTGAAAAAAAATACATAAATATGAGAGACAAAGTGGATAGGGGTCTTATATTTAGGACCAAAATAAAAGTTAAACAGGGTCTTATATTAAGGACCGGAGGTAATAGTTTATTGCAACAGTTACTTTCACATTTATACTGTTACATATAAAACCATGTTAGATAGGAATATCACCTATCTAACATGATTATTAGGAATTATGCCCCTGATTAACATTAATATGTAATCACACTTACACCTTTTAAGCCTTAACTTCCAGTCAAAATCTTAATGAATCAATTGAAACACAAATCAATTAACCTAATAAATTCAGTCCAAAACAAGTAGCACGACAAGTCATCATCAGTTGCATGCAAGTTTGAATGATAAAGCGTAAATGATACCACAAGCAAATCATATGCACATCAATTCACTGATAAGCTCACCAACCATCTGATGTGAACCGGCCAAAGCCACAAAGCATCATAAGAGTCCATGATTGGTTCCCAAATAGCGATGCCTGTGGGGTCTTGATACACACCTACTCATTACTAAGTGCTGATACACTAATTGCTCATTAAGTATTCATACACACCTATTCTTTATTGTACTTCAGTGGTCAATTCAATTCTTTGTGAGAGAGCTCATTAATTGCATCCATTTATTATTTTAGAGAGTTACTCAAGATAGTAAGATCTTGATGGAATTGGATGTTACCTTACAAGCTATAAGTGAGAATTCTTGACCTCCACGATCCGTGGAGTTGATGTACTGAGGCTCATAATTGCCTGGTTCAAATTTGTGGAACAATAGATTGGAAATTTTAGGAGGTTCTAGGGGATTAGAGGAGAGGCTAAACCATGATAGGATTGCTTGTGTACTTTCTCTAGTTTCTCTTAGCCTATGTTAGTGATATTCTTCCTTTACTCAATACTTTACTTTGTTCATTTCTATGCTTAAGTCTTTAACTTGTTTAATTTTTTTTTTTATATATCACCCAATTCATTCCTTTCTAAGTGAAGTTTGCTACTAGCAAACATCAATTCATCCCTTTTAGTGATAACAAAATCACTATCCTTCGAGCAATTTTAAAAGAATCACACAACCATCGTTGCAAAGTGAAGAGCACCAATAATGTTGGCAACAACAGCATGTTGATCACCTACAACATCAATCGCATCCATCAAATTCACCCCACCAATTGGACACTATCATATCTGTGCAAATCAACTAGCTGGGATCCAATGCAAGCCCAAATAGACGTAGATCGAAAATATTGAAACTAAAGGACTTCCTAGATTTAGATCGACAAGAAGCCAAGAAACTCAGATTCACCATCTCACTTGTAATCTTTCGTCCATAACTTCCTTCAACATACTGGAAATTAAAATCGCTCTCAGCATAGGGAGAGAATGGGGACGAAGACTCTAAAAACTTACATCGGCCTTTAATTATGTTCAGTTTAACAAGCAACTCACGTTTCTTGGAAGCAAATCAATAAATGATGTTGTTTCCCTCTCATATTCACCGTTTCTAGGTCACTAATTTGTTTTGCTTTTCTTTCCTTGGGCTGTAAGACTTTGCAAATTCAACAAGACTACTCCTACTTTATCCTTTTCACTCTTTGATTTCTAGTTTTGTTTAAATTTTAAATGAATTGAAAATTCCCTTCCCCTTGTGTTAATTGCATAATTTGCATTATCTAATTCTATGTACTGGATAATTTGCCACTGTAGGAATGTGATCATGTATATATATGATAAGGATCAACGGCTTGTTGTTTTAATATGCATGGGTGATACTATAACTTTTCAAAAATATAATTATCTATATGAGATTTGGAGAATCTACATATGAATTTCTTTTTTAATCACATATTTGCACTACTTACATCTTAAATGAAATTTATTGAAAAATAAACGGCAATGCCCTAACTATCAAATTGTAAAAATATAATAATTTGAATCATGAGGCCGGCAAAGTTGGCATTTACCTGGGTTCCTTAAGCATCTAGTCAAATGTTCAATTCTTGATGGTATATATGAAGAGAGTCTCGTGACCAACAACTAAAGCCCTTTCGGGAAGTCTACAGTGCGTGTCACTGCTACCGGCAATAGATAACTTTAGCTAAAAAAAAAAGTGACTTTAAAATATAAAAAAAAAATAAAATATAAACTGTCCATATACAGTGCTGCCAACGGGACATGCATCTTGGGGCACTAAAACCAGGTCCTTTCTGGTTGCCCAAAAAAAATTTTCAAAATACAGATTTTTTCTTTCTGGTGACATTGCCGGTGGCTGGACCCTACAGTTTATTTGTAGCTGAAGGGGGAGATGAATATATGGAATCGTGTTCTGAGCAACAGGCAGCAGGGTTCATTATTAGGTTAATTGAATCTTTGGTAAATAATTAGCATATTGTGATATATAAACTGTAGTTAATGAAAGACATTTTTTTTTATTTTTCAAAGTAATATTCTTAAAAGAGTTAAATGACTAAACTAAATTTCAATTTCAAAATTAATAAGGTTCTCTGATTAATGTTCTCTGAACAATCATTAATTGCAGAGACCAAAATTAATGCATCCACCATTTTAAAAAGAACTCACCCCCCTAGCTAGCTAGCGCAAGTTACTATTAGGGTTTCAGAGAGGTCTAGAATGATGAGGAAATCCATGAAGCTTTCATCTTTTTTCAGAACCAGGCGAGCTCCAAAACTCCTTCATCCATGTCAGTTCTTGCCCTATTGCAGACAGCCAAACACCCTCTCTTTTCGAAAACCTAATCATTTATTAGGTGATGATGGCCAAATTCAAACAACCTCATTATCAGTTGAGTCATCGGACCTTCTTGACTATTGCAACAACAACGGCGAGTACTCGTTAGAGAAGTTAGTTCGCGGCGTCGTCCGGTCATCGGCGAGGCTATTTTTCGAGCCTAACGGCGGCAACAAGAGCCCACTGTTAGTGGTGGCTGAGCCCGCGACAGATGAAGGAGCTGCCTCAGTGACTGATGATGAAGGTTCGAAATTACAATCTGAGATAGAGATAAGAAAAATGAAAGGAAAAGAGAAGGTTGATGAAGATGATGATGGTGAAAGTGAGGTTGCTTTCTGTGAAAGTAGTGTGTTTATGGCGTTGGAATCAAACGATCCTTACGAGGACTTTAAGAACTCAATGGAAGAAATGGTGGAGTTTCATGAAGTGAAGGACTGGGAGAAATTGGAGGAGTTATTAACTTGTTACTTGGTTGTTAATCACAAGAAAAATCATGAGTTTATATTTAGGGCTTTTTTTGATCTATTTTCTATCGAAAATTAACATCTTTCTCGGAGCATAACATTGTTGACAGTACTATTCTGTTACATTTTTTCTCCTTCTGTACTTTTCATTTATCTAGGCTTCATAGTGAGATTGAAGATGAGATTGTTGTGAGCATATATGCCTATATTAACCTCTTAGTTTAATTAAAGGGTTAAAGATTATTTTTGTACTGAAAGTATTTGCGAATGAATTGTAGGTATCTGAAAGTTTTTTGTTTTTGTTTTTTGTTTTTTGTGCTTAAGTTGTACCAAAAGTGTTTAAAAAAGGAGTAATGTTGCCATTCCATTAAAAGTGTTTTTTAACAGAAAAAGCAACATTGCTTCTGTTCTATTTCTTTTGAAATAACATTGAGCCAAGGAAAAAAAACCGCTCATTGACATCCATAGCTTCTTTGTAAATATTTGCAAGGTTATTAAACATTAATTCTTATAATCTTCTCTATTCAGTTTTTTTAAATGAACTCTGTTTTTTTTGAACCAAAGACAAAATGATATTCATAATAAAAGCACTTATAAGTTACAAATACTTAACATTCCTACGTTGGCAGAATTAAAAGTAAAAAAAAAAAAGGTCTAGAGATAACAATAATATAAAACGAAGATAAATTATTGCCAAGTGATGTTGAGGATAAAGGAGTCGTTAAGAGGAAGCTGAAGAAATCTCTTCTCAACACAGTAAATTTGTACAAAAATTATGAGCTCTGTTTGTCACAGGATTATTTGTGTGAGATTTGTTAGCATAAAGACGAAACCGAACAAAAGTTGACGTAAGATACATATTATGCAGGTGGAGCTCTTAAGGAATTCTTCATAATTTTTTATAATATAACTATAAAGAGGGAATTAAGCTTTTGAAAAGTTCCGCTAACAAGGAACACAATTTGACGTATTTCAATTTTAGAAGAAGAGGAGGAGCAGGTAGCAGAAGTTGCAGATTAATTAAGGAAGACAAACCACTGCGTAGGAAACACTTTAACCTTGGGAGAACTTTTTGTAAAAATTTTAACCTCATAAAAAGCTACTTTTTACTATCTCTAGTCATAATTATAAGGTCTCGTTTATAGTCTATAAATGAGATTTTATAATTAGAACCGGATGTAGTATGTCGGTTATAAAAGGCAACCAACGTAAAGTGAAACATTATTGTCCACGTGAGGCACTTTTTTTTTTTTCACTTCCTTTTTAGCCGTCATGAAGGGATGTTATGTTGATTATTTGTCAACCTTCACAAAGAAAGTATCTAAAAACTTACGACTTATTCATAAAAATGCTACCACTTTTTTGTTTAGCTGGGTTGTTTCTTCTCATAACTAACGTAAAAAGATGTTTAGGAAGCCCTATTTTGTAGTAGTGCAATGGGGAGTTTAAAAAATCATAGTTTAATAAAATCCTTTTCCATACTTCAGGTGAAAGTATAAGAAGGATATCGATGGAGGCTTATTTTAAAATAGTACTTCTCCGATCCTAAATATAAGACTCTTATACTAGTGTGTATAAGAGTCTTATATTTAGGACCGGAGGAGCAATAAAGAGTCGGTTATTTCAACTCTTTCTTTGTTTTTTTTTTTGCCATCGCTTATTTCAACACTATTGGTTTTATTCTTTTCTGAGTTAAAAGTATTATTAATCTTTGGCCACAAAAAAATTATTAATATTGTAAAAAAGAAAATTTAACTAAAATATGAGTAGAGATACGCGCGGAGGATATAAATGGATATATAGTTAACGTTGTTTTCATTAAAAGATAAAGTTGACTTTGTTCATAAACTCCTGACAGAATTGAATTCCATGTTTGAATATAATTATAGTTATCAAAAGCTCTTATTAGCCAAAATTTTTTTTCCTAGTCAACCATTTCTGGTTTGTTTTTCTATGTAGCATTATAGTGAAAATAACGGTAAATAATTTGAACGATATGATTCTCTCATTAAATTCCAAGCCATGCATAAAAAATTGTGTCCATTTTTTTAACATAAATTGTGTGTGTGGAGTGTGTACCTACTTGAATAACGAGCCTCACACTTCATATTTTCAGATCTGAAATAATTGTCACTTTAGAGAAAAGTTTTCTCAATCGAATTCTATTTCATTTTTATTTTTTCTCAATTTTTTCTAACACATAGATATATCTAATATTTAAAACACAATAATGTTAAATATAAAATCATTGGTTTTTTTTTGTTATATATATGCTTTCAAATTTTCATTTTGTTCAAGCAGGACTAAAAAGAGAAAGTGGGTAAATGCATAAATTAGTTGAATGTTGAATAATTATATGCTATGCAACTCAATATGCATGAAATTAATTATGTTAGGAAGTTACTTTATATTTGTTGCTCTTTTAAATAAAATTTTAATAATATATACTCATTTATGTTTATATAAAAGTTACCAAATTCCAATTATTAAATTTAATCCCCACATCCACCTTTTATAATGGATTGTCCCTTTGACGGAGAGAAGCCGTTCGCATTTTCGTAACGCATTATTGATAATTATTAAAACCTATATTTGTTGGCATGAGCTAATGAATATGTGAAGTCTTTGATATTTATTTTAATTCAAATGAATAGTGTACATGATTAATACAAATTAGTTATTAGGATTTATATGTTAAATGAATGTTGCATAAATTAGTAATTTAATTTTGAGTTGTTTTGATGTACTACAACAATTTAATCATCGATAGAGGGAATTGTAGAATCTTTAACTAACATGCAGGTTTTTCAAAATTACAAGAGATATCTCTATAATTCCTAAAATAAAACGGAAAAGCATTAATGAAATTCCTATAATAATTACTTGTCTTTCATCCTTGCTTTTAAAAACCATTATCTCATTTGGCAAAAAAAAAAAAGGCATAATAGTAGACCAAAATGAATTTGAATTAATGACCATCATAAATGAAAAATTCATTCCCCCTTTCTAATTAAGATTCAATGGTCAATAAATTAATGATTCACTCCCTGATGTCAAAAAAAGAAAAGATTCACTCCCTACGGAATCTCCAAGATTCCAACCATGGTACGTATTTATTCCTATGTATACAATATGCCCATTTAATAATGACCCCTCTTTTTGATAATAATTCCTATGAATATTTTATCCCCAAAAACAAAAAGAATTCCTATGAACATGTGAAGTCTTTGATATTTATGTTAATTTAAATGAATAGTGAACATGGTTATAACTTTTGTCACGAAAAAAAAATAATGACCCCTCTTCTTTTTTTTTTTTTTGTCAATGAATGTGTTTTTTGGAGCCTCATCATCTTCTTCCTTTGATTCTAATTATATAAATTAGTTAAGAAATTTGTTTTGGTTCAAAATGTAATATCTCAATCTCTTTTTTATGTTTATTAACTTTTTTCCTAAATTATTATACATTTAATAAGAATAGTTTCATATGTTAATAATTAGGGTTAAGGAGCAAATTTAACAATAAAGTTTTCCTAAAAGAGCACCAGGCACCATAATGTTTAGTAGGGGGCATGAATGTGCACGAAGTTGGCAATTGGGAGCAAAATGACCACTTCCGTTAGAGCATGTAACGTTGACCAAATACAAGAAAATGGTTTCACTGAAATGGTGACGTGGCATATGAGATGGCAAATGCAAAATGGAAAATGGAAAACGAGAAAAACAAAAAAAAAAAGCATTTGGGAAAAACTGAAGACATCGGCGAAGCAGGGAGACGAATGCGAAGAGCGATAGAGAAAGAGAGTCATAGGGTTTGTGATTGTGGGAGAAACAGAGTGATTAGCGATTAGCAATTAACGATCAAAGAAAGTAAGCATTGCAGAGTTGGGGGTGTAAAGCGAAACTGAAGTCCAGAGAGGGAGAGGAATCTGCGATAGTTCACGTGACGAGAGAATCTTTCCGAGCGACGCAAAGAACGACCGAGATTCTTGAACAGTAAGTATCAATTTCGGGTAAAGATAGTTGTTTTATTATTGTAATAGTGAAATGGCGTGGTCCCCATGAGTAATTTCTTGAGTTGTTTATTTCAGAGGGAAATGGCGACAAACAGGAAAGGTAACAGAGACGAAACTATGGAGGTAAATACAAAGCAAAATACAGAGCAAAATACAGAGGAGACCTTCAAACAAAGACATGCAAAGCTATTGAATAAGGTAAATGAAATTTGTCTGCTGGCAAGAAATAGCTGGGAAAAAACAAAGGCTAGGTTGCGTGAGGGACACAGTAGTATAGCTGAAAGTATTCCAAGGCCAGTGTTTCTGAATGATCGACGGAAAGGTGAGAATATAGATGTAGAAAATATTGATGAAGTAGACGATATTGATGGACTTGATGATATTGTAGAGCTAGGAAATGGATTTGATGTAATTGGTGAAGCAAGAGTAGATGGAATTTTTAGTTCAAAGAACATTGATGATGATAGGGACAAAGGGAAAGCAGTACTCCGGGAGGAGGTGGACAGATTTCGTAGCAAGGAAGAGAATGAGAGAGAAGGGGAAAGTGAATGTGATTGTGAGATTGAGGAAGTCAGTGGACCTGACAATGATGAAGAGAATGATAGTGAAGTTGATGATAGTGAGGATGAGAGTTACATGGCGCAAAGTGAGAGCTCAGATACTGAGGAGAGTGTTGAGGATGATTTCGAAGTAAATGCAGAGGTTGAAGATGATGCTAGCTGTGATAGTGATGTAGAAGAATTCGGCTTTAAAAATGATAATGGGCCTCCACAAGAGAGGTATATGGATGTTGGGCTTGATGGGCTTAAGGGCAGGCCTTTTTTCATGCTAGGGATGACGTTTGTGGACAAAGAAGAATTGAGGAGGGCTGTTGATAAGTATGCCATTGAAAAGGGAGTTAATGTGAGGGTAGTGAGAAGTGAGAAAAGGTTGTTCAAAGCTCAATGTGAATTGGGCTGCCCATTCTGTCTATATGCCTCTAGGGATGGGCCAAATGTGGGGTTCAAGATAAAGACATTATGCACTGAGCATACATGCGCTAGGGTTTATAAAAACCCTAGAGCTAGTGTAAGGTGGCTAGCAGAGTACTTTAAGGAGAAGGTGCAGGAGAGCCCGCAATTCAGTATTAATGACATGAAGAGAGAAGTTGAACGTGAGTTGAAGGTGCACGTTAGCATATATAAATGTAAGAGGGCTAAGAGGATGATAATGCAAGAGATGGATGGCAGTTTTAAGGATGAATTTGCAAAGTCGGAAGCATACTGTCACGAATTGAGCATATCAAATTCGGGCTCAGATGTTGAAGTTGAGGTTAGCAATGAAGCTTTGGAGCAAGGCAGGAGAGTGTTTAGAAGGATGTATGTGTGTTTCAATGCATCCAAGGTATGCACTATAAATTTCTTATTAGCTTCACTTGTTTAATTTAATTGTTAAGTAGTGTTCTTTTTTTTTTTTTTTTCTATTGACCACATTTGTAATATATAGAGGTATGTCTATCCAGGTTGGGTGGAAACAAGGCTGTAGACCCTTCATAGGCTTAGATGGGACATTTTTGAAAGGGAAAGCCACAGGCATTTTGCTAACAGCTGTGGGGATAGATACAAATGATTCCCTTTATCCCTTAGCTTTTGGTTTAACTGAAAAGGAGAATGGACACAGTTGGACCTGGTTTATTGGATGGCTGCGAGCTTCACTAGAACTTGAAAATGGTGGTCATATCACAATCATGTCTGACATGCAGAAGGTATACATGAAATGTTGTATTTACATGTTAGTAACTATTTTATTATGACATATATGCATCTGACATGCTTGTGAATGCCATTTGATAGGGCTTACTGTCAGCAGCGAGTGAAGTGCTCCCTGAAGCCGAGCATAGGCTATGTGCTCGACACATATATGCCAACTGGAGTAAACAATGGAGAGGCAATGAGTTGAAGAAGATGTTCTTCTCATGTGCTTGGAGCATATTCGAAGAACAATTCAATGATAACATGAAGGAACTTGGAAGGCTCAAAAAGCAAGCAGCCCAAGCAGCAGTTGCATACAATCCTACAGCTTGGGTAAGAGCATTTTTCACTGCTAGGTGCCAAACTTGGATGGTAGATAACAATGTTAGTGAGAGCCTAAATGCTTGGATACATGAGTATAGGTTCCTTCCAGTAATTAGGATGTTTGATGGAATTAGGTTGAAGCTGATGGAGAAATGGGCTGATAGTACACGTATTGTTAGTACTTGGAAGGGAGACTATAGCCCAAAGTGCCTAGAGTTATTTGAGGCCAATAGGTTCATAGCTGCAACTTATAGAGTTAGTTTTAATGGTGATGAAGGTTATGAGGTCAGTGAGGGTCAGGATAGGCATACTATTTATTTGAATAGGAGGATGTGCACTTGTAGAGCATGGGATTTAACTGGAATCCCATGTCAACATGCCATATGTGCTGTATCCCATGCCAAGATCGATCCCATGACACAAATCTCACACTATTATCATAAGGACATGTTCTTAGCTAGCTACATGACTAAATTGCAACCTGTGAGGGGAAGGCAATTCTGGGACACCGATAGATATCTTCCTATGCAACCTCCACCTGTTGTGACCTTACCTGGGAGGCCGACCAAAAAAAGAGTGAGGACTGAAGAACCACAAAGAAGGAAGAAAATGAGCTCTGCTCAAAATGCACAAGTCACCATAAATGAATTATCACCTCCTCAACCTGAGAAATTAAGCAAGAAAGGTTCCACTAATCGATGTAGTCTTTGCAGACAACAGGGACACAACAAATCCACTTGCAAAGAGGTAGTTTCTGTTTAATATGATAGTTATCTTATTTAAATTTATAGCTCATGCTAATGCCTTTTATTTTATATGGTGCAGGCACCTCCTTCATGTCATTGTTGGCCAAAAAGAACAAAGAGGACACATGATGCACATTTGGGGCAATCATCTTAGCAACCAGACTTGACTCAACAATCACAGCATCCTCAGGTGACACAATCTTCACAAACACAACAAACTCAACCATCACAGCTCCAGGAACACCAATCTCCACCTTCCCATCAAACTCGCAAGCCTTTTGGACCAACAAAACGGCCACCAAGAAGGACATGTGTCTACAAGCCTAGAACTCCATATGGCATGGGAATAATAATCGATGAGCACACAAGCAGGACTATATACAATGTTGGTTCACTATCACCTTTCTTATTTAACAACTTCGTCCCCAAAATAACTATTTTTTGTTGTTGGTTTTGTTGCAGCCTGGTATGCCTTCTCAAGTGGTCATTGATGAAGGAAGTCCACCGCCTATGGCTTATAATGCAGACTCGCAAGCTAAGTTCCCAATTCCAAATGAGAAGCAAATGAGAGTGACAAGGGCAACAACAAATAGAGCACAAGATAATGAGAGGAAGATTAAATTGAATGAGCAAGGCACTGCAATTGCACAACCACCAACACTTCGATTCAAACCACCTGGGTTGCAATGGAGGGGCAAGGCAGCAATTACAACAACCCAACTCCAAGCAAACAAAGAAAAACACCAAGGCTACCTCAAGCAAACATAGTATATAGGTTGTTAAGTTATTTGGTGTGGAATATTGTCTTTTGTCAATGGCCATTATGTAGCATTTTGTCTTACGTTGGCACAGACCATTATATGTGGCTGTCTATTTTGTGAATCCTAAATTGGCCATCTTTTGGGAGCATTTGTAATTAATAGGCATGAGATTCAAACCATTTACTGATGAAATACTGAATAGTTGATGGATGCTTTCTTCCACATTTATGAGGTTTGCCTTTCCCACGTTTCCCCTCTTCCTTGCCAAATCTCCCTTTTTATGCATCATGTATCTACCATGATATATATGATGGCCGTTTAATTGCATTGCCATTTAGCTTTTGTGACATGTCATTCACATTTTACTCATTCAGCTTTTCCAAAATATTGCAACTATTAAATTCAAGAAAATTGATTAATAACTTCGACTTCATTAAATTACATAAATCAAAATATTCTCACCTAATAATATCAATTACATGACATTATATAAACCAAACTATTCAACCTACTACTTCATTCACTCTTCATTACTCTCTTACATTACAGAACCAACAATAACCACACCCATGTAATTAATAGGCATGCCATTGCCATTTTGAACTTCCTCTCCACCTTTCTAAGTTGACTGGCCTTTATCTGATGCCTACTCTGCAACTCTCTCATTTGTATTTGTACTGAAGCCAACTCATCCAACAACCTCTGCCCGTCATTTCCTCGTCGCAACATGCTATTCTCATCATACAGTTTATCAATATTATCTAGCAGCTCTTTAATCACGGTATTAGCCCTCTCACCAAAATCACCATCATGCCAAGAGAAGTACCCACACCCACCATCCTGTCAATGGAGACCTCAACCATTACTACTCAAATCCAAACTCAAAATCAACTTCTATTGATTTACTGCTTACCCGGTCATAGTAACGACAGCCATAAAACCTCCTCCCCGGGTTGCCTTCTGTCCATGCCGTCCATCGAGGTGCCACCATCCTATGGTGGCAATACTTCCTTGGCCCATCATAATCATCCTCACGATTGGGTTGTCTTAGCAAACACACCCTCCTTCTGGATCTTCCCGTTGTTGACGACGACGACGCGCCATTTGCAACAAGGACTGCTTCGTTTTACTGTAGCAAAGCAACTCCAGATGGGTTTCGACTGGAAGTGAGAAGAGGAGATTTGTGGGACAGAAGACCAGATAGAAGACCATAAGACGAAGTGAGAGCAGATCGCGTCTTTGATGGAGTAGAAGAGGTGACTTGCGTCTTTAATGGAAGTAGAGGAAGTTGGTCGCTTCTTTAATGGAGGATAAACCTCTGCTTCTTCAAACGGTCACGTGGAGCATTTCTGGGACCCACCAAAACTTAACTAACAGACGTTTACATGCTCTAACGGAAGTGGTCATTTTGCTCCTAATTGCCAACTTCGTGCACATTCATGCCCCCCACTAAACATTATGGTGCCTGGTGCTCTTTTAGGAAAACTTTATTGTTAAATTTGCTCCTTAACCCTAATAATTAAAATGATGAGTATTTTAAAAAAAACGACACATACTTTTTTTGTTTAAAAATAAATCGATGGAGGAGAAAGAGTTTCATGGTAATTAATTGATGTTGCTGATCAATGAGAAGAAAAATCGTAAGTTCATACTCAAAGCTTTTTGTTTATCTATTCAAACGATTTTGCACAATCCATATATGTTATTTCTTTTTGGGGGAATTGCAAGGAAATAATTTAATTACCCTAAAATCCGTTAATAATTGAGGAGGATGCAATGACAAGTTTCAGTATAAGAAATGATAATTGGTTTATGAACCTTATGGTAATTCTCCCTTTCTTTTATACTTTTATTTGATAAGCTTCACGAAGTGTTTGTATCCTTGTAGGTGATCTGAATCAGTTTCAGTATTCATTGTAGTAATGAGCACCATAATGCTGACCATAGTGGTGAAATATACACCACTCAAATATAGATTTAATGATATAGATTTAAAATTTTTAACTAATGATTTTTCAATAAATTCTTTTTGTGAAAAACTTACAATTAAGAGATTACATTTATTTTGGATTATGAATGAAAACATTTTTCAAAAATACAAATTTAAAAATTTACATCTCTTGGCCGCTCATATTAAACTTGAACAGTTGGGATTTGATAAATATCACGCTGAAACTGGTTCTCAGGTGATCATTCAAGTGTCTATACGTTTCTAGGCCAAAGAACGATGACATGGCTTATTTTAATAATACCATCATTTTTTTTAATACCTTCAATCTTTTAAAAAAATTATCAACCATTTAAATATCACTACTACAAAAAGTTACTTTATAGTGAGCAGCATACATCCCGTAGTTGCCCCGGGGGGGGGGGAGGGCATAGATCTAGTAGTATTTCTAAATTCTCTGGATAAAAACAAATAACATTTCTGACAGGAAATGCTACCTTTTAATTATAATTCATATTTTGAATTATTTTAAAGAACATACTGGACTCATAAATGAGATTGAACACTCTCCAAAATTAAATGAATTCTTCTTGTAAGAACACGCAGAGTAATAGTGATCGGTTCATATTTTATACAGGCGATACTGTGATAATTTGGGTATTTTGCCTACATTTCGTTGGCCCAAATCATGTTTTCTGAAAAATATTTTGATTAAGAATTAATATTATCTATTTTCTATGATCTTGAGATTTTTATTTGTGCTTTATTGAGCAGGTACGAACATGGGCGTTAGCATATTAAATTAGGAAATTATTACTTTTTCTGTTTTTACACACACACACACACACACACACGAGCTTATAAATTTTCATTTTCTCAATTTGGAAGATGTACGTAAAAATAATAATAGGATAAATATTCTTTTTTTTTATGAGGTACAATAATATTCTACAACAACAGAATATAATCTCCTCCAAGATATTGAAAGTGAAGGACAGACTTTTCCCAGCTGCTAAATTGATACATAATTGTTATTGAATAATGATGCCATCTGTATATATTTAAAGCTAGCTATATGATGATTATGCTTTAATTATTCATACTTGATTTCTATTTTTTCCCTCTCTTTCCATTTGCGCATTTAATATAACAGTTATCTATGATTAAATTTTTCATCAAGTTTATTTTAGAAAATTGTTTGTCAAATTTGTGAAAATTTTAATTTATCATATATAAGAATTATGCGGACAAAATGAAAAATAAAATGAAGTCTCCAAATTCCTAACATAATCAAATTAGCCAAATTGCCGGGTAATTTGCAATTTGTACTATTAATTTCTCTTAACTTAAGGCATATTCATTTAATTTATACGTCCACATTATGATATATTAATTTTAAGCGCATTTTCATGAACTTTTAAAGCAAAATACATGAATTCTTCTGTAACACCCTAATTTTCTTTTCCAGAAATTAATTAGTTTAATAGAAGTTTAAATTTAAATATGAGTATAGGAGGAAAAAGAAAGTTTAGTAGGGATATATAGGGCTGTGCAAAAACCTGATGGTCTGGTATGTAGGGGTGAATATGGGCAGGGCTAGGTTGGGTAGGACCCCTGCCCGATGCCCAGCCCGAAGTATGAATGCAGCCTGCTGCCAGGCCCTGCCCATAGAAGCCCTAATCATTTTGGGCTGGGCATGAGCGGGCTGGGCAGGGCGGGCTTCACTGCCCAAATGGTGATGACCTGCCGATATTATATGTAAAAAAAAACTTTTGTTCATACCTGAAAATTACATTTCATAGTTTTACATTTTCGCATATTGAAATTATCTAGAAATAATTTAAAACAAGTCTTAGCAAATATCCAAATAAATAATATTCATAATATTTTTAGAACAAAACAACTCTCAAGATTGAAATTAAAGCCTTGAAATTCAAACGCACGGTTTGCATCGATTTTCAGAAAGTTGAGAAAAGAATAAAACATCTGGAAAAATTAAAGAGGGGTTGAAGCACATTGAGATACTCTATTGAGGGTCAGAGATGGTGATGTAATAGAAGCTTGATTATCTATTTAAGTGGCAAAAATTAAATGTTACCTAGAGGATTGCAAAAGGATATTAAAACTGAAGCAATGGGCTAATAAGAATAATATAGACCATATAAAAATAGGGTGAAAATAATTGTAAAAAGAAAAATAAAAAATCTTAAAATCTTATAATAATTTAATATAACCACTTTTAATATTCAAACACTTATTATGCAATATAATGCAATTAGCGGTCCATACAACTAAAAGACTTCTTTT